GATAATAATCCCTAAAGAAACAAAACACAATAATAATTTGATCACTCAATCCACGACTGTTTGTGGGACACTGCTGTGCCCGATTGGCTGCCGCGTAATGCCCAGATATACAGTAAATTCACTTTACAGTATATTCTATGAAGCATTTTGAGACGTCTAGAAGACGTGAAAAGCTCTATATTAAATGCAAAGATTATTTTCTATTATTTTATTCCCTTTCTCAGTCGCAATTGTCTTTTATATGATTTTGTCCTCAAAAACTTTTTGTATCCTTTAAAATCTTCTATTTGTCCTCCAAATATTTTACTTGTCTTCTGCAGAAATTGGTTCTTTTGAGGAATGTGTTTTTTTTAAGTTCGTTTTAACCCTATTTATTCTTTGCTGAGCTTCCAAGTACCTTTCATGAGACAAAATGTGATCTGAACCAACAATGTCCATGAATAGCAAAGAGATAAATGGCCAATCTTTTTTTTGAAAATAACTTTGCATGATAGTGGAATATTATTCAGGACATTAGGAAAACTGCTCGTCTTCCCAATAGTGCTGTAAAGTTTTCAGTAGTTCACTGGATCATCAAAGCAGATAGATGGGACCTTGGTGTGATGTCCTACCCCCTAATTCAAACCTGTGCTGCCCATATCCTCACCCACACCAAACTTGGTACCCTCATCACCCCAGTCCTTGCCAGGCTTCACTTGCTCCCTTTTGCAGAACGGATAGAATTCAAGATCCTCACACTCATCTACAAATCACTTAATGCCCTGGCAGTTCCCTATCTCTCCAACTTGCTCATTCGTCAATCCTCTACCTTGGCCCTTCGCTCGGCTGTCTCAGGTTTCTGCATATCCCTCGACCACTTTGCTCCACCATCAGTGACCATGCTTTGAGCCACTATGCTCTAACCCCTTGGAAATACCTGCCTCAATTTCTCTGCCTAACCCCCTCTTTGTCTGTCTTCAGATCACATTTGAAGACTTTCCACTGACTGCACCTAAGGAAGTCTCCTGTCGTTTCCTGTCCTCATTACTACAGTCTGTTCCATTTTTTCCTCTTGAATTTGTTAACTTGCTCTGAGTTAATGTTTTGCCGCCAACTCTCTAGTAGCTCACTCAAGTAGTGGGCAAGCCCAAACAAGGAATGTCAGCAAGATATTTGACTGTTGGAAAAATTAAGGCTTGATCTTGCCCTTATTTGATGTCACCCATGCAGCCATTTCCAGCAGAGATCTATAGATTGGGGACCCTGGCTAATTTCTTTCCCCTGTGAGGCAAAGTGTAGTATCCCTTAAGATAGTCAAACTCAACACGGATCAGGGGATGAACCTATGACATTTTTGGTCAGTGCTGCTCAGGAAATCCTGTGCTGTTGTGTATTCGTTGAGCCATTGGGAGACAGACAGCTTTCCTTTCTTCTGTGATTTGAGTGAAAACTAAAACCTGAAGGCATGTACATCACTGGAAAAAGTGCACTATCAGCAAAAAGATTACAACCAAGGCCAAGAAATGAACGATGCACCTCATGACAAAGGCAAGACAGAATGATTAACACATCCATCTATCAAATGACAAACACACAACACTAAGAATTCCATTCGACAATGGCAATCACAAAGTTGCTCTCAGACCAAGCACTTCAAGTCATAAAATAGTGACATCCACAAAAATTGTATTTCATTACTAAAAACTAGAACAAACACATTATCTAATCAAAGTGTAACCCAATTAAGATCATGCGGTGAAAAATTGAACTTTCGAGATGATAATTATCATTGGTAATAATTGGCACTTCATCAGAATTTCTGCTAATGGCAATGATAATTGGCGAACATCCCTTCCCCCAATTCATAAGGATTAGTTAGATCCCAAGTAGCTTGAGGTGACAGCCACAGATATTAAATGGATTGCAACATTTCAGTACTGGTTCACAAAATATCAATTTAACTCATCGACTCTGGCAGTGCCTGGACCAGAAATTCTGATGTGATAAATATCACATTGAATATCCCATTCTACACCCCCAAGTTTAGAATGGAAAATCTAATATTATTGAATTCAGCCCCTATCCAAAGTACTCAAAACAGCAAATACTGCAATTGCTGCCAAAATATTTATTTAATAAAAGATTTAAATCTCATCAGAGATAAAAGTAAATCTTGCAGCATTCACATCCTTAGAAGATGGCACTTCATCATCTTGTAGGAGGCCCGAAAGACAAGTGTAAAATATTTCATTGAGAACTGATCACACAATGTTTTAACTGCATAATCCTTTGGTCGTATTAGTTAGCAGCTACTGATTTGTGTAGCAATTTGGACCAACCAGGCTTCTGATTTAATTCAGACCAAAAGCAACAGCTTGCTGCTCTGAGCACACCACCTGGGGTTAGAAGTTTCCTGTGCCTCACTTACGAATACCATATTTAGTATTGTATGGATGGGTGCACCCAATTGAATTACACAACTGTGTTTCTGCTGGCTCGTGAATCCATCCTGTCCACAGTGGGGTGGTTTCACAAGTTGGGAAATATGGAAAATGTATGGGAGGTATGAAAATTCCTGCTTCTGGTCAGCACCTTTTTCTCTTAGCTTCCTATGCTACTGAATAAGAAATGCTGACTAAAACAAGCAAACATTCAAACCAACGCCACCTACACTAACCAATAACGATGCTGCTTTAAATAAGACTTTAATTTTTAGTTGTGATTTCTTGATCATTTAAAGAGCATGATGCACCCCATTTGGGGGGTATATAGGATTTGGCTGAAGCGCTCACATTGCCAATTTACTAATCAGGACTGAAACCAAAGTCTTAAGTGGACTTGGGCCAATTTGTAGTTCTGGAGGGGACAGCGCTTGGCAGCTTCCAAGAGAAATGCTTGATTTGACTGAATTAACAAACAAACTGCAAGTCTGTTTGAAACATTAGACAATGCAAGTTAAAAATTTATTTGAATTGTTATGATATTAATTTCTCAATTTATTGGTATATAATAGTATTGTATGAAGCTAAATTAAAAATGTTGGAATACATCTGCACCTGGGGTATAGTAGTTTTAGTTGAGGTTCCTGACAGATTATGACTGTTGCATGCATGCATATATGGAACTATCAGCCTGTTTTGTCCAAATACCCAGAGTTCCATAGATATGTATGGGACCTTGACATGAACATTTCCCTATGTCTGGCGTGGAGATTATCCATGTGTGGAAAGGACACTTACCTATGGCTGGAATGGACATTACCTATGGCTCCAAGAGGTACGCCCTGCTTACCTAAATCCAGAAAGTATTATGTACAGGTGGGTGAGAACCAAGGCTCAGGGAGCGGGAGTTGGAGTACTGCTGAATACGGCTAGCTAAAACTACAGCTAAAGATTACAGCTAAAATTGCCATTGTGAGCACTGTGTGTCAAGCTTCCTGCTGTTTGTCCAGATAGGCCCATTGTAACTTACAAATAACTAAACAAACATTTCTTTTTAATGCAGTTATATTTATCAATGTAAATTGTATTGTACTGTATATGTTACCTAGATGAATGGAGATGAGGTAAGTAAAGTCAAAGTAATAGCCAAAATGTAGAGGAAACGCTGTGGGTAAAATGATTCAAGCAATGAAAGGGCAGAGGAAAGTAGTTGTGCTTTTGTAATAGGAGACTCAATTCTGAGATGCAGCAGGTCAACAGTGAACTGTCCAGGTGCAATAATGTGGGTGAGGCAACACTGTTTTCCCAGGTCATGGGTTAATGAGCTAATGAGGGCAATCGGATAATGTCAGCACTTGTGGTATAAACCTCAATACAAAAATCAAAACAATCAATTGGCCAAGAAATGAAATATTACACTTTAGCAGCCTGGATTTTATCAATCTTAGTATTGCCAATAATCTAATACACTACTGAAACATAAGACCTTAAACTTGCTGTTTAACATAGGCCCATTTAGTTTAATAATAGATATTGAAAGTTTTTAGTGTGTTTAATGCTGGAATTGGCAGCCTGAGCAAATTATGGCTTTTTGATGAACTTCTTACTTTGATTTATGTCTGAACTGGAGTGTGCATTCTCTCTCTGGAGGTACGCATCCTGCTTCCTAAATTCAGAAAGGTTGGTGAGAACTAAGGATTAGGGAGTTAGAGTGTATGTTGAGTGCTGTTGGAGTTTAACCAGCTAAAATTTCATTGCTTGCCATCGTGCGCACTGTGTGTCAAGCTTCTGGCTGTTTGTCCAGCTAGGCCCATCCTAATCGCTAAGGCTTTGGTTTGCAGGGCTAATGGGAGCCAAATTGGAACAGGGGTGATGGCAGGTACAAGGAATTCCTGCAAGACTTTTGGTGAGCAGCACAACAGCATGAAATGCGTGAGAGCATTGCCTTCATCCTCCTGCCTGGCTGCTGACAGGTGGTTCACAAGTTGGAAGTGCAGACCATCAACAGCAGCTGTTTACCTCTCTGTATAGCAATCAAAGTAGGTAGCTAGTCCTGGATACCTGAGCACGTGTTCAGGAACCTGGACCCAAGGTAACACCTTCCAACAGCTGTTGACCCAAGCCTCAGAGTTTCCTCATCAGCTATTCAACAAACATCTGCCTTCAGTGTGGTGGAAGGTCTTGTACATGGCAGCTAGTGGACCACACATAACATGTAGCATTCAAACTAATGTTTTCCATTCCTAATTTTTTTTATATCAACTACACCCAATAGTGTTTTTTATGATGGCTTATTTTCACCACTGAAATGCAACATAATAGTTGAAGTATGTACAAATGCCTAAAACACAAATACTACCAACAGCTTTTTGAATCCAATGCAATGCACTCAAGTTAACCTGTTCAAGTGATTTTTTTTTATTCAGTCACATGTTAAACCTGCTGAAAACGTTCAACTTGTTAGAATTAAAAGAACTGAGCTCTTTTTCCTATGTTTCTTGATTTCTTCTCAATGACTGTAACTAAGCACTCGATTTAAAAATTTCAATAGAGCAGCATATAAGAATAAAGAGACATTACCTTAGACAAATCTCTGAAGTTGCTGGGTAGCGTCAGATCCAGCTCTTCCGATTCATAATTAGTTATGACCCAAGGGAAAACGGGATACTGATTCAAGTCACTGTAAGTCCGCCCTCAACAGAAAAAACATTAACATTTCATTTACAGGTCAGATATGAATCTGGGGAGCATAATATTCCAAGATGATCAAGAAGTAGACAGCACTATATAACTAATTTCTAATATATAAGCAGAGAGGTCAGGTAAATTAAAGAAAGCATGTTACAACCAAAATTTATCCTGCTGCCCAAGTGGCACAGCGCCAAGTGGTGACAAATTCAGACAGAAATGAACACAGTGAGTACCTGATCTTGGGAAATCTGGCTGAAAGTGTAGTGAGGGCACACATTTTTCTGAAGGTGGGAATGCTCCAGCCAAAGTTTTTTCCAGCGGAATCCACTATAAACCCCTCCACTACAAACCTGCTAAAAAAATGTAGTTTCTGGCCCCAGGCCTCTAGGGCTCTTTATCTGAAATCACTGTGGGTGGGGCAGCTCCGGACACACATGCAAGGTGCGGCGCAAGCGGGAAATGGGATTCTCTCCACTGGGAGGCCCTGCTGTTGAAATTGTCTGGGTGTCTCTCTGTGTCTGTGTCTAAGTGAATGTGTGTGTGTGTGTCGCTCTCTCTCTCTATGTGTTTGTGAGTGTGTGTGTCTCTCTCTCTCAATGTGTTTGTGAGTGTGTGTCTCCTTCTCCTCTTTGTGTGTGTGAGTGTTTGTGTCAGTATGTCTCTCTTTTTCCTCTATCTGTATGTGTGTCTAGGAGTGTGAATGTGTGCGTCTCTCTCTGCGTCTGTGAGTTGTGTGTGTCTCTGTGGGCGTGTGCATCTCTCTCTCTCTCTCTGGGCTCTTGTCGGTGCTGGGTTCTGCGAGTCAGGAGGCGGTGAGCTCCTGTAGCCCCGCAGTTGGGACAGTGGTCCTGAGTGTCTGCTTTTTGGCAGATCTCCAGGCCTCCCGGGCCTGGGATGGTGTCGTCGTCCTCGCCCCCACCTCCAAATGGGACACCTGGCTTTTGTTAAATAAATAATTTTTTAAAAATTGCATCAATCTAATATGTGTTATTTCCTCATGTTTCGTTTTTAGCAATAAAGCGAAAAAAATGTAGGTTGGCAGTAAAATGTACCTCAATAGCACCAATCAACTCTCCGCAATTTTCCGCAAAATTTGTTAAATGCCCTGTAATTTTTGGCAAATATTTCCACAATTTTCAATTGGTAAGTAATTGGGCATAATGCAGCATTAGCAGAGAACTAGTACTAAGTTGACTTCTTGCTCAGTTGTGGTAAGAAATGGAATTTAAAGGAGAAAAAGAAAAATATAGCCTAAAGCAGAGAATATTTTCTCTGAGGATGCTGTGGATATTTTCTATAATTGACGGAAAGCCACAATTTCAAATACCGTTGTATAGTAAAACATCAATCCAACAAAATCTTTTCTAACTGTTCTTAATAGCAAAGTTAAGATAGAAGTCAATCTAAATAAAATAATTTCGTTGATGAAGACTATGTTGCTGCTTCTCACGAGTTTAAATCATCAGGCTTGATCGTAGCTTAATAGTTAATAAGCGTTTTGAGTCAATTAAAAATGCTTAGCTTAATATTTTCAATTTGAAAGCTTTGTGAGAGCAGAAAGCCTGATGAAGGATCTTGCCCCCACCATTTGGTCGTGGTCTTGTATTAAAGTTTCCGGAAAGTACTTTTTAAAAAAAAATCTGAATAATTTGGCAAAGCAGCAAAATAGGACAAAGTAATAATTGTAAATATATAGTAAGAGATTAGACACAAGGGACTGAATTGCCTCTATGTGGCAATTTTTGGTTAAAAGAAATAATTTATGATAGCATAATGTACATCATAACCATACTTAATTAAACTGCTCCATTTCCTCCTATTTTTCTTCAAAGCCACTCACTTCCATATGAGTGAGGAGCTAGACCACCACATCAGCAGGATACACTCTTCTAAACTTCAACAGTTAATATTTAATAATGTCTGAGTGTTAGTCAACACAACAGTGTTAAATGCATCAGCTGAAAGGAGGTGCACTTCAATGGAATGATGCCGATGAAATGTCAGCTTTCCTCCCTCAGGAACATGGTTAAGAACTGTCAAAGCATCTCTTCTCTTCTAACCAGTGAGTTGATGCAACTGCCTTTAACAGAGTATGAGCTCACCCACATTTACACAAAAGTGCTTTACATTTTTGTTAAATTATGGGCAGAATTTTTTCAAATTCAACGCAATATTTTGTGTTTTAATTGTTTGAAAAGAGTGGCAGATTTAATCTTGAAAGGAAAAAGGATTCAGCAGGCAATTTATTCAAATGAAAATGCCAATGGAGACTTTGAGGAAATGGTTATGCAGAGTGCACAGATACAGACTGAATATGGAGCAACCATGAAGGAGAGTAAAGCAGAAAGGAGAAGATCCTTCTACTCCTCAAATGGAAGTTATGAGCACTGTTATGCTTTAAACAAGAAATAGAAGGAAAAACAGGCCTTCTTTTCCCAGAAGTGGAAATAGCAGTGGAAATTGAACTATTTTTGGACATCCTTATAATATAATATTTCTTACGGCCATTTCTTCCATCCCCCTCCCTTATTTTACAAAATATACTGGCTGATTGCTTTCAGAACTAATCAGAACATCAGCTAAATTCAATTCAGATTGAATTTTGCAGCAGTAATACACAATGGTTTTGAACCTTTCTTACATACTTTACGCTCACGCTTGTGTCTAATTCCAACCATTCTTAGCCCATCATTTACATAGATCATCATTTGTAATAGAAGCTTCAGTATTTCTTTACCAGCTACTGTGTTGAGGAACATGAGGTACTCGAAGTTAGATATCTCTCTGCGCTGCCAACGTTGCATCATATTGGACGCCTTAAAAAGCTGCCGAGAGTTGGCCAGGGAAATTCGTCTGCAGGTCAGAGAATCATAAATAATCCAAACATTCGTTTTTTCTTATTTCTTGAACCATAAGCAATAACATAAGGAACATTAATTTGTGTCTTCATTCTTCTAAAGTCATTTTACAGTTTCAAAGATTTAAATAGCAAATTGCAATTCAATTTTCCAGTAAGCAAATATTAAAGTGAGAGATAAATTATAATTTTGCCTTCTTGTACCTTTTGAACATGGAAAATTAATCACCGTTAGCAAATTGTACACAAAATGACACTTCAAAGCAATTAAAGCCAACAAACATTCACTAGACTTACCTTATAGCTACATTTACACACCATCATCAACAGCTTGGAGCAGGATGATCCAAATTGAACACGATTGAGCAGCATTCACACTCACCTCTGTCCATGTCCACTTCATGAATCATTAAAACACCAACATGACGTGTGTACTACCTCCCCCCCACTATAGAAATGAATTTAAAACAGTTCTGTCTGGTGAAAGGTCACACTCAAAATATTAGCCTCTATTTACCTATCAAATACTGATTCAACATTGTGCATTTCCTGGTTTTATGTCAAATGAAAACGATACTGGACTTTTTCGATCAAGCTGATACAAATCTCCCAATTTGGTTACTTGAAATCCACTAGTAAGAGTTCAAAGCTTTTACTCAGAGCCAAGGCCCGAGCCTAATTTGCTCTGAAAGTTTCATTGATAATCAGCTGCAAATTCACAACAAATGTGAAGCTATAGTGTAAATGAACCAGATGAAACAATACAACTAGAAAATCACTGAACATTTCCATGGTTTTAATTATTCTGGTTAACTTTCTCCAACACAATTTTAATAGTCTCTCCCATGGCATCTGAAAATATTCAACACAAACAGAATGGGGCCTGAGAAAAATTATAGTTGACAGCAACTGGATATTGTCATATGGCATGATTCGCATTCTTCTTAACTTTAGAAAGGCAGTTTGCTCAGTTTCACAGCTGCACTAGTTCAATTAGTTCAACAAGGCCAAGCTGACACATTGCAGTGCCATTTTAGCATTGATTTATGGATTTGGCATTAATACAATGTATGAAAAAATAAATGCACGGTGCATTTTAATGAATGAAACATGTTTTTTTTTTAGAAAAGCAACAAAAACAACGCCAGTTTGGGGTTTTGTGTTCTCAGTTCCTTTTTGGGAGTAGCAAAGTAGGAACACACAGAATATCCTGGTTATGAACTTTTACAGACTGAAGAGCTGAACTCAAATTTCATTCTGCAGCTAAAAGAAAGCAATGATCCAACTCATTGCTCCACATTTGCCAAAAAAATATGTAAACGATGTGAAAACAAAAATTGAAACATAAGTTGTAGTTGGAGACAACTGGAACACAGAGTAAATATGCATTCAGAACAATACAGCTGCTTACCTGGTTTGGGGTAGCCCAAAACCTGTGCCGACTCCAACACGGGGTAAACAGTGAACAACTTTCTTTACTGTCGCTGTGTCTGGGAAGTTGAACATGACAGCAGCTGCCAAAGAAACAAACAATAAAAGAACATTTTTTAACATGACATCACCTCCTGTGATTTATATTGTATTTTTTGTTTAATAGAACATCTCTTTGCAATTAGATATATAACAGATGCAGAATTGCAAGCCCCTTTGTCTACACATAAATCACAGTTTTCAATGGGCAACGGGTTATTTCCGTTTCTCTGCTGAAATCCATTCCCAAAAAAGATTTCCTGCTGCAAACACATCCACGGAATTAAACAAACTTTGCTGCATGGATATCATCACAAAGCTGGAATTGTCTATAGTTTGATGATTCTGTGGAAGAATGTGTCACAGTTTTAACTCTTGCTCGGTCAACAGATTTATCATCATTTCTTAAATGGAGAGTTTGGTTACAAATGTTTCATTTTGGATGTCTTCCAGCCTATCATGCTTGGTGTGATATTAGTGCAACACAAGCATATTCTTATTGTTACTTGCATTTAGCTTAAAAACTCAAATCTGAGCAGGTAAGGAACAAAAACATGGTCTGTGAAACAATATTAAATAGACTATAGGAAGTGATTAGTAGCATATATGTGCCAATGATTCGTTTTGCTATCTTGAAGTTCATAAACAGAAGCCCAATTCCTTGTTAAAAAAATCTAATCTTGATAATGCATTTTGTACAGTTTCACATACTCCATTTGCCTTATGAATAACCATATTACAAAGAGACAACTCTGCTGGTTACAATTATTATAGGAGACAGGAGAAGCAAATTGAAGCATCGTATCCAAAGCAAAAATTACTGAAAAATGTTGATATACGTACAATAGTGTAATGACATATAACAATGTATAATAATTAACAATAACTTATACCACCTTTCACATAAAATAAATTGTTCAAAGTGTTATAGAATAAAATTGTAAGAAATGAAAATGAATATTATATGGTCAAACATGATAGCTAATCTGCAACAGCACAGAAACCATAGAAATCTACAGCATAGAAAGTGTCTATTCAGCCTATAGTGTTAGGAATGTTTCTCTGAAAGAGCAATTTCCCATAAAAAAATCAGATGAGTATTCAATTTATTTGCTTTTGGGAGTAAATTTGAATAAGGATGGTATAGAAGGCAGCTACATGGAAGAAAGACTTATCTCTGAAATATCAATGGGTGGGCAGTCCCTTTAAATCCACCTGAACCACAAGGCAGATGGAACCTAAATTAATAACAATCAATAAATGAAATGATCTGGAAACAGACACAGCATCTACATATTGTAGCTTGGCTAAAAATATTAAGTTGCTTCTTCCATGGAAAAGATGATTTGCTGCACAGTTACAATTTGCTTCACGCGAACATAGTATCCACATAACATTTTAAATTTCTCCAAGAGTTCTGTAAACCCAGCTTATAATGTATAAATGTCATAATTCCTTTATATATTATGAACACTTCAGGTGAAGTGGACCAACCGAAAAAGCATCAATGCACGCAATCTATCAAGATCTTTTTGCGCTGGACTTACTTCGATTGGCAATAAAAATTTCCAGTGCAGTGTTTTGCAGCAGATAGCGTCTGGAGAAGACAGCACGGATTTCGCTGAATAGCCATTTCCCGTGAAGTCCCTCTGTATATGCCAAAATCTAGGAACAAAAATGAAAACAAATTGTTAGTCCAGTAAGGGACAAAAGACATACAAAATTATTCTGTTTTGAACTCTTTTCTTATTACTATTTAAAAGCAATAAATAGTTTAATAAATAATTCACCCACAAAATATACAGTTAATTCACTAAAGTATATTCTGTGAAGCGCTTTGAGACGTTTCAACGACGTGATCAGGGGCTATATCCAATGCAAGGATTATTATATAATTATTATAAAAGCACAGTCTAACAGATTTATGAATCTACGGAAGGAAATTTTTTTGGAAAATATACAGATTGGCTGATAGGCCTTCCTTGGAAACACATATGAAACGTACTAACCACTGTCAAACTGGCATGTTGAGATACAAACCACAAACTTCAAAAAACTCACAAACTAAGTTACTCTGGCCGAAATAGTATACCCGTACTGTTGCAGAGGATATGTAACATTTGTATTAAATATTTTACTGGGCTGATTCTACAATGAGTCTAAAATTACAGGGTGATGAAGTCATTAAATTCTTTATAAGTCAATGCCCTGGTCCCATATATGGCAGAAAAGTAACATTACAATTACTAATTAAAAGTAGAAATACTTTCTCAGTACCCAAAGGGATACTCGGATTCATCTATACCATTGAGGCTGCTTGTACATGCAATATTTCAGAACTAATATCTATACTTTATGGGTCAACTAATGCAAAATAAAAACAGCTCAGGGGCAGTTATATTGCTTTCAGTAGCGTACAAGATTCCAACCCAGAAACAAAATGAACAACAGCTGAATATATATTAAAACATCCAATGTTTCCAGTAATACTAGTACCAGATTGGCTCACTATAATGTACATGGATTACCACCAAGATTTGAATTCAATGCTTAATTTCTTATTGTAAAGAAATGCAGCTGATAGTTTTAAAGCTTTAACCAGCTTCACTTTTAACATTTAGTCTTTCAAAATGGCGCCTTCTCTTTTAAGTAAAAGCTTCTAAAATGCTTTTTTCTTTATAAAAAAAACTCTTGGAGGAATGAAAGAGAATAAGTTCTTAAACCGATCAAAACCTTTTAATCCCATATACAGAAACGTTCAAAGCAATACATTGCCTATGTAAAAGGTTAAGTATCATTTTGTCAGCTAAACCTAAACAAAAAACTGCAAATGAACTCGGTATAATCTCTCCATGGAATTAGTGGTTGTCAGAGTAACTTGTTACAATGCCTGTCATCTCATCTGACAGACACAGATGCTTAGTCTGCCTTCACAATTCAAACTAATCCTATCCTTAGCCTGAAACCACTTTGTGTCTTTGTTGCTCCAGTTTTGCCTTTTATTTTAAAGCCTAATTATGAAGGTGTTAAGGGACAACCGGATTGGGCCACTTTTCTGCCACTGTGTAGAAGGGAGCATTAATCAAAAATATTCAAATCGGACTAACAGGAGAAGAAGGCTCATGATAAGAGTTTCTTAAAGTACTCATTAAAACAAGGTGACAGTAGTGAGGAGCAGCTGAGGCCTGGCTAAGCAAGTCTGATTCCTCTCTGGAATAGTATCTGCCTGATCTGCAGCTTCAGATCAAAGTCTCTGGAGTTCAATTAAAACTGGATTAGGTAGAAGCAGCCCATCGTCGGGACTTTCTGGTCTCTGGCACTCTCTCACTGACAGTACCCCAGATGACGGCCTCTGCCTCCACTGAACCAGTTGCCATAGAAACTGCATCACTGCCTTAGCTCTGCAATGGCATGTATAAGATAACCGTTTGAAAGGTGCAGCAAAGGGAAACATTTTTCCTGCAACTTTTTTCGAGCTTTCAAATGAGCGTGTGCATGCTTTTATCTACGAGAATTACCTTGGTGAGATGACAGACTGCTTGCATGGCTTTACTCAACTGAAGCTGAACAATAAAATACACATCAGTGCAAACTGCTAAAAGTAATAAATAAAAGTTGCTGATTTTCCTCAGATAGAATTCCTTTACAAGGCATTCCTCAACTGGCCAAAGCTTCTCAAAGTTTAAGGATTTTTAATTCAATCTAATTCCCTCCACCCCCCAACACACAAACACAAATGAGCAGTTAAGCATCTTAAGCCTCAAACTTTTCTTATGAATAATAATCATAATCCTTGCGTTATACATAGCACCTTATCACACCTTCAAGACGTCTCAAAGCGCTTTAAGTAGAATTAAGTAGGAAGTTGAAACTTTTCATAATGTTGGGAGGAAAATGTGGAGGAATTTGAAGTTTTTTTTAAAAGGAATACTAACTACCTTTTACGAAGTCGGACCAAGAAAAGAAATTGTTTCCCCATTGAATCCAAAATTGTACTAACTGTTCGCAAAACACATTCCAAAGTTCAAAAGTTAATCAAAGGAAGGTCAGGTATGAAGAAGAAAAACACCTTCTTTGAAACATTTTCTGAGTTTAAGTAAGGTTAAATGAAAAAACATACATGTCGGTAAATAATGTATTAAGCAACTTATAAATTATTTTAGTTATAGATATGCATTTCCTGACTCCACTTTACATCCATGCTCTAACAATCTACTACTTAGGGACGTGCCAATAAACAGCCAGATATGTATCCTCTGAGGATAATCAACCACTAAGTAGTTTATTCAGCCTTTTCCCCTCCTCTTCCCCCATCCTGAAGAAAAGACTCCAAAAGCATTTGTGAGCTATATACTCTCCTGGTAGAATTGGCATGCTGTGTCAGACCAATTAAATACCATGAGTTTTACAGATGGTATGATACAAATTATCAATTAGTGAAATATGTTGCACAATAAAAATAGCAATTAAAGTAGAATAACATAAAGAAAATCTATATTGCCAATACTTCTGGCATATGGAAAGATATCTTGGGTCTCAGCTTCCATTGAAAGTACTGTAGTAAAATCTCTTTGGCATTTTGAGTTATAAAGTGGGTCTGTGGAAAATGAGTTAATAACTCCCTGGGCACAGCTTAAGGGCTAAATATTCACAGCAAATTTATAATTAGGCTACAAACTCAATTTATCAGAGTAATTATTTTAATTTACTCCCATTGTTCCAGACAGTTCAATGACAGAATTTTTTCAAAAAAATTAAAAGCACGATGACCTATTTTCTCATTACTCAACCACTTTTTTTTAAAAACAAAAATCGTATGTTTTCTCTTTCAATTACTGCTAGAGATGATAAACCAGCAAAAAATGATATATCAAGTCATTTTATCTTATCGCTTAGAGGCCCAGTGACAATGAAGTTCATATTTCACTGGTTTCATTGAAGATTGTGAAAATTACTTGCCCCTTTGACCTCAAATTTCACTCTAAGACAGAAATTTCTCTTCTGTAAAGTAATGCAATTTTTCAGGTGTCAACCTTTAGCCCAGCTTTAAAAATTAATTTCATTTATATTAACCACGATATTGATATTTTCACGGGCTCCCTTAAGAACACCCTTTGATACATGAAGCACTGACTGGCAAATTGATGTCTCTAGAACGACCAAAACTATTTTATTCAGTGCTGCTACAGCAAACAGATTTATGACAGTCTGAAATTCTTATTTTGTAATGTAATATTTGTACTGGACGGATGCACCTCAGAGCCCCAGGCCCGTAAATAATTTAAGACGCTGCTAGCTGGGACTTCCCTCTTTGCGATGCACTTCCATTTGAAACCCTGTTTAGAGGAAAATAGCCTCAAGAAGTGACTGCCACAAGAGCTGCACTTTATTTGCATTTCTATGAGGAAAGGAAGCTGATAAGGTTTGTCAGACAAGGTAGCAGGGCCTATACAAATGAAGTTTAGATAAGTATGCAAGTCCCTCCAGAGTTACCTTCCAAAGGATCTCTTAAATCTAAAATACTGTCATCTCATCTCCCTGTTGGATTTTGATTGATTGCACCTCTTCCTTATGTTCATTAATCTCATCACCTTATCTTTTATACCACTTCATTTTACTAGAAAGGTAATAATAAAACCCTCATCCATTATCCTTTTACTGATCTATTCATGCGGAAATGGTTAATAACATGTTACAAATTGAGCTTCAATCACCTAATTTTCTCTTTTGTCAAAGGCACATTAGCCCAAAACCAAAAAACCAATTTGTTTCATGAGGGTGAAGATTATCGATGGTGACATTTGAAGTGAGCATTTCCATAGCTGCTTATTAAAATCATCCAAGTGCTATTGTATCTGTTGATATCAAAACACAAGCTTAGGCCAGTTTATTGCAAGACAGTAATCTTGTCATCTCCCAAAATCTTCAGTATTACTAAACAAACAGTGCTGTGGAATCTATCTTGCAGCCTTTGTGAATTTATCACCCATGTTAAATGATTAGCAAAAGTGAATAGTATTGTACCACCAACATTTAACAATGCCGGATAAATCAAAACTGTTTCTATTGTTAATCCAGCAGAAGGTTGTAAGGACAGGTGGAGTTCATATTTTGTTTTAAAAAAAGTATTATCCAGTAGAATCATTTTAAGATGAAAAGACTGCTTTCATTAGTCCTCCAGGCAAATAAAATAAAGTACAGTATTCTGTCTTATTTTGTAAAAAGTTACAAAAGTAGATCTGAATGCAAGTTATAACAACTGGTGGAGACTGGTCAAGAACATGCAAGTATAATGAGAAGATTGCTTGGGATTTAGAGAAGCTTTTGACTGCTGAACATTTGCATTTTGAAACTCAAATGTTCTGTGCCCTTTTAAGCTGCTCTGCACAAAACATCAATACATACAGTGAAGGCTCAAGAGACTCTGACAGTTGTAGAAATAACAAAATGCACGAGGCAAGACGTTTTCACAATTTGCCATCTTCAGAGCGTTGAACAGATAATTGGTCAGAAGGTTAAACAATATTGGTACATGCTGCTTCATTACATACAACAGTCTTTCACTCATTATGCCACATTTTTATAAAGCAAAGAACTCCAGTGTTACAGATCAGTGGCTTGGTGCTGAAGTAGCTGCATCTTTATCTACTACTGGAGCCTAGCCT